GCAATGTGTATGCATATATTCATTTTCTTAAACAATTGGTTCCTCATCAATGGTGAATCGTCACTCAAAACCCAACTTGGAGTTGCGCCCCGACATAACCTTCGTCCATGTAGCAAAACACATAGAACGTTACGGGATTAATATGATCTAATGTACTGCATATTTTCGGATTACATTTTATTTGAATAGCATTCTTTGATGCAATTCCCCCTTACTCTTCCATCAGTTTGAACATTTTTTCCCAACAAAGTGTCCGATTGAACAGGCAAATTATTCACCTGCAAAACCCTTGGAGAATACAATCAGAATACACGAAAAGACTGTATTTCCCTCGGTACACATTTTAGGATTTTATATTTATTTCAGCAGATCATGGCTTTTTAGAAAGGCTCTTACTTTTCAGCTTCAATGAAATTCAGGCAAGACATGAAACTCTCTGGATGATTATAATTCCTGTAAAAATGAATCGTGTAACCAGCGATGGAAATTGTGAAAGAGACCAATGAGATTTTTAGTCCAGCTGATAGAGTTGACTGAATTCGACCGGGGAAGCAGTTTCTGGTCAGTCATGCTAGATCAATAGGACCAAGTTATAACAGAAGACTATTCGCATGAGGTCAGTCGATGTTACAGGGATAAGGAGTTTAAATATGCGTACATACGCGTACACACAGTTGTTGGCAAGCCGACATTAAATCAACACATGGGTGAGCGCAAAAACAGAATGGAATCGATTGACCGGAAGTACAATAATGACAGGCGGGATTTTCCGAAGGCGAACTGTGCAATACTGACTGAGTATGGTGATGCAGGGGTGGGCATGTGGTATTAGCGATAGACGTCGTCATCGTCACTGTAAGTATACGGGTTTAGAGACACGACACGGTACAACTCGTAAGCCCCAAAATAACGGACGCTATGGCGTTTTAAACACTCACTTCAAAATATTTTGCCCTTTGTTCTATCGTTTACCTTTGTAGTTTTTTTTGATTAAATTTTGCGTCGCGTTTGGCGCTTGGTAAACAGATTACGTTTTACTCCCGGATGATGGGTATAAGTTTACGATGACCTTCCCAAACTATGTGCAAGCATACCACGTATTGCCCGTTTTTGTCCACAAAATTTGAATAATTCCTTCGGTTATAATTCACGCATTATTTTTCAACAGTTTCTCAAAACCGTCAACAATGTATTAGCAACCAAACATGCCTTACTTTGGCTGAATAAATTCAGAAAAGTCCTGCGGATGACATGAAATTACTTTTCGACATCAACCAAATGCTCTTTGTATGGACTAGACAGATGGTCCACACTTGAGCTCCATATACTCCTTATTCGTTCACTTCTCAGACTGTACGGATGATGCTTTTGATTCCGTTTGGTCCAATGCCGATTGTTCTTGCGGTGTATGTTACACTGGTTTTACACCAAATAGGGATAGTTACACTACAGATAGCCGGAGCCTTGTGAAAAACGAAACAAATTTTCTCGCATGAAGTGGTTGTCATGACCAGATGACATGAGGTAATCAACTGTGATCACACTATCTGATCCAAACTGAATGCAATTAATTGAATCAGTTTATTTTAACTTCACATTCCTCTCCCCACAGTTTTCTTGCGAAACCTTACTTTGTCCCTCACAATGTGATCGTACTGAAAAAGCCCTTAAAGCAAAAGCGAAAATAATTTTTCTCTGCAGTTGTCTTTTCAATCATAAGATATCATCATTCGACCCACCAAATGTGATAAAGTCATTAAAGACGAAGTGCGCCAGAATCCCAAAGTTCAACCCGGAGCGAAACCGGGTTGCATCCACTCTGCTGCAAATAAGGATGAACTAACTGACAAAAGTGCTTTCAACATTGCTGGTGGTGTGTTCAATCTGTACCTAGGATCACAATACAGTGATTTGGCTGACCACGCCTAATTTGAGCTGTATTTGTAGACGACGTCACGTGACACTGACGGATGATGGTGATGGAGCCAATGATGATGTCGATGGCGGTGGCGTAGACCATGCGCGTTAAGTTTTACTTTGGACGCTAAAACCACATTTTTACACACGAATAACACCACCGAATAATGTCAATAGTAGACGGTACTTTTCGTTGACTGACCCAACACTACTTCTATCTTATTACGCCTTATGTAATTTCCCACTCCAAGTTCCAGGCATTAGGTTATCAGTTAATATATATATATATATATATATATATATATATATATATATGAGTATTGTCCTTTCTGCTGTTCATCATGCATCAGCGTGTAATAAACCTTAGACAATTTGGTGAGATTACATGTGATTAACTATGGGGCAAACGAAGTCTTATTTGACCATTTAGTTAGGCTTGGAAGCTGTTAACCGAATCATAAACCTAAAGCTAGTGCGGAGATGAGTGAGGGTCGTGCCTGCAAAAGGTTTGCAAACATGGTTCGTAGTACGCCATATTTTACCAAAGTCAACCACTCGAATCAGTTGTGCGATGATCAGTTGGATCGATAGTATACCTGTGTCCTAACTGTGAAATCCAGGATTACACCTGACGCGTTTGTGAAACCCACACAAATTAAAACATCTGCACAGTGCTTCTCAACTGCTCAATTCACCCTACGTATACTGTATACACAACAAAAGCCTCACATTCTAATCAAATCAAACCGTCCACTACTATAACTCCCGTGAAATTTGAGATTCTCAACTGCTGAGCAACGAAAATACCCGTGTACGTGTGTGTACATGAATGTGTAGCTGAGAAACAAAACCGAAGAGTTCTACCCTCTCAAGATATGTTGCCCCAACCTAACACACAAATTATGGGGTTCAGTGTGGTTCAAGTTCTCCGGGAGCACAAACTTAATTGAGAGGTACAATCTATCATATCTGAATGAAAACGGTAATTATGGTTACAGTATTCCATGTCATAATCTTCCTTTTTATTTTATTTGATGAATTACAAATGTGAAAATAAAACTCAGGAAATCAAACCGTATTGAATTCAATGTTTTGAGAATAAGTATATTCCTAGAAAGTCAAGCGGTGTCGTGTAGTTTCGAAAAACTAGATTACAACCAGATGCGTTTCAGCTCTATATCATCTGATCACCATACCCTAAAAACTTTGTACATATTTCGTAGTACTCGTGCTGGTTGGTGCGTTTATACTGAAGAATACAGGATAAAGACAATCATTTGGGTGGTGTGCCGGCCTTCGATCCTCAATTGGGTCCAGATTACACAGTTATTCTGATCATGGAGAACCTATTTTAGAAAACCAAGCACGCATTCCTGTCGATTACCAACCCAAGAACTATACATACGTTGGCAATCGTGTAATGTGATTGTTCAGTTTAAATCACATTCATTCATGTGAATACTGCGTGTACCTAATCACTCTGTCAGCGATTACACCCGTATGGATTTTATCCGAATTCAATAGACAAGAGGGAGAAGGGATTCATGGGTAGATAACGAATTTCATCTGCTAAAACGACGCGAATGATTTGGAAACCATACGTAGTGTGTGGCCTGATAACTGTTATGAATTCTGTTTTTGATGCGATAAGTCAATTCAGAATTTCTTGAATAAACTTGATTGGGTGAAGCTAACAGTTCCAAATAAACCGGTCATATAGGCCTTAAAACTTAGGATAACCCAAATTTTTAGGTTAGATTTTCTGTCACATAAAAGGATAGCTGTCTACCGTTAAATTTGGTTGGCGCTGATGAGGTTCGGAATTCTTTCCTTGTTAGTTATACACTTGTATGATGTATGACGTGATGTGAATCAGCTTGATGAAATATTATTGGCTTTTTGAGAACGCACTGTGTTTACTCTGTGCCGTCGGTGTAGTATTTAGCAGTATTGTTGTCCAGCAATTTTTAATCTGGAGTATAGAAAAACTATCTAGGAAAAATATGTTTTACGTGAAATTTCACTGTATGCCACTGGCTATTTTGTGATTACCTTGTATTAAACTAAACCTTTAGTCGTACCCTGTGAACTCTTAGTTACAACAATTGTATTGCTGCTTTTCTTTCTTATCCCTAAAAATGGAGGATTTTGGAGTTTGTTTTACAGTGAGCATGTGGTACAATTGAAAGCGAAACAGGCTCATACGTTCTTGGAGAAAAACGTTTTCGGAGTAAGTGTGATATGAACGATAGGGGTGTTTTACTCGTATTAGGACTATTAGGCAATTCTCAGTTTTTCGCATTCTCAACCGAACTCAAACCGCAAACTTTAGGGTTTGAAGCCAAGGTCAAGTAAGATCTACTTCTGGTTAGTTGAACACCAAATTGTCGTTTGGATTGACGCAAGAATCCTTCCACTGCACTTCTATTTTGACAGACGCAAACTTTTCACTGATATACTCTACTGAAGTTTATTGAAAATTGCTAACGAAAATTTATTCTGATCTATCCATCTTTTGACCATATGTGATCCCCGTATCGTCTCTTTCAGGAAAAGCTTTTTCTATTGTTCAGTTAAATAACCTTCGGACGAGATCTTCTGCAGGACGAACCAAACGTCCACTGAGCTTTGTCAATTACATAACTGGTGTTCAAAAGAGATCCCTGTCATATTGGATCTCATTTTGTCTAAAAAATGGCTGACGTTACAGGGGCTTCAGTTGTTCTCGATCAAAAAAGATCGTCATATTTTCTAAGGTCACGTGAGCATGAGTAAAGCAACATACCACCGCAATTCATGCGGATCAAAAGCCGCTGGAAAGGCCAGATTGTTTTCGCTGATATAATTAAACATGTTGGCGGAATAATCTGTTGCACAAGTTTAAAGGGTGCCACAATTTTGCCTTCTGCGAAATGTGATTCTCTCTACCCCCATTTATAGTTTAAACACATGCCAGGTTCGCCTTCAGAAGAGAAAGAAAAACTAATGATAAAATCACATTTATGATTTCATGTTTTTTCCCGAAAAGATAAGTTCAGTTAGAAAATATTTTAGTTGATAAATAACATGATTTACGTCATGGAAAAACGAAAAATTGAAAGGTAAAATATCTACCGTTAGATGCTAATGAGAATTTCAGATGGAGTTGGAAGAATCCTTAAACAGACAAGGGACACTGAGGTTTCCATGTATTGTCATGCATTACAACCGAGCTGGGTAGCAAAATTCGGAATATGTCAAATCGGGGTTAATGACGCTGAGAATGCGTGCATTTTACGCACTTTTACTGTGTAATGTTCAAAGTGGTTTGTTTGTTATGTCCACGCCTACCTCTGTTTGTAGTAACGTAGCGTTCCAAACGTCTCTCATAGTTTATATTTTCTTGAGTGCTTAATTCACTTAGATAAACATACATTATCTCTCTAAATAAAGAAAAGCCTTTTTCTTCTAAACAATGACTATTTTCATGTGATCAAAGCGTTCTTCTAGAATGAAAATACATCCGCTTGAAAACGGTTTAATATGCATGAGGTCGAATGCTTGCCAGATTTTGAGATTTTGTATGATCAGTAAGAGTATAGACAAGAAGCGTCGGTTGATACAATTCACAAATGGACGCAACTAACACCGATGCGTATTATACGTTCGATATGCTGCTCTACCAGGCTGCACTCACTGCGTTATTCATTTGGTATTTGGCTATAAAGACACATCAAGGAGAGCATACTATGGTTGACACAGTTAGTTTTTCGTAGTATCAACTGCATAAAAGCGGAAGAAGTATGCCGCTAACAGCATGCAGAGCAACTGTCCGTAATGACGATAACCGCATGTTTCGTTCCGGTTATTTCATGAGTTAAATCGCAAATGATACTTTCTATAAATACATCACGTTATTCAACTAAAGAGATAGATCGTGGTAGTTTGCTTACTTGACCCAAAAAAATGATTGACTTGACGATTGAGGTGCTGAATAGAATGGGCTAAACCTATTAGTGTGACCTGATAATTGTGCGATAGCTTCGAGGAAGGATGCGGAATATAAAACAAAACTTTTGGTCTACTTTTTAACCATATTTTGAGACAAAAACTGGGTGGCAATATCACGGTATTGGTTGTATGCTTTTAAGGTGTTAAACTAATTTTGTTTGTACAACCCCCACCCCGTCCAGCAAGCGTCAGATCCGTTTAAACACATGTAAAGCCAAATAAAATTACAATGGTTTATCTCAAAATCTTCATAATTTAGATCAAGGTGAACTCAAACAGCCTAACGCTACGAATGTATTCGTTGGTTGGACCGACAAAATTGTTTGCAAATAGGAAGAAACCCTATTTCATAGCACAGTCTGAAAATTTCTTATCTGAGATGGTTTGGCCGGGCCGAAATCTTTTCATATAAAAACACATTCTTGTTCTCCGATAATCATAGGTTTCTCGAACGATGAATGGATGATTGAGTGGCATTCGGTTATTCTTTATGGTCGTCCAAACAGACACAATTTACTCAACAAGAGTTGTCTGAAAGGTCCAACGGACATGAATTAAATATTGTTTGATGTTTGTGCGCAACAGTCACTCTGGAAGAAGCAAAGCCGAACAGGATTTCTCAATCTGGCATGGATATTTTTGCGGCAATTTTGCTGTCGGTAGATGGATTCCACCAACCATTCCCAGTTCGATGGTTTACATTCACCAAAACCGAGATTAATTTGCTTCAACGATTGCATCAGAAGAAGTATTATTCCGTTGCATTTTGTTTTTAATCAAGAATAAACTAAAAAGGGAATCTCATGTGTATAGTATGACACGTAGGTTTTTATTTCAGTGGTTCCCTGCTAAGCTTTTCTGTACTCTTTAATGCTTTCAATTTGAATGCGATTCAAGGACTGCATTCCACGGGGGATAGGTAGCAAGGTCAATAACCTCCCAGTAGAATCTGAAATGATTTTGTCAGTCAGGCCCCACTGATTCTGCCCTAATTATTGATAGTGCTGATTCTTATCAAGAAC